GAATTCTTTGAGGATGTGACAAAACACATTGATGAAGGTACAACAGTGGATGTGGTGTATATGGATTTTAGCAAGGTGTTTGATAAGGTTCCACATGGTAGGTTCACACAAAGTAAGGGGGCATGGGATCCAAGGAAATTTGGCTGTCTGGATACAGAATTGGCTGTCCAATAGAAGACAGCGGGTGGTAGTTGATGGAAAGTAATCAGCCTGGAGCTCGGTGACCAGTAGTGTTCCGCAGGGATCTGTTCTGGGACCCCTGCTCTTTGTGATCTTTATAAATGACTTGGATGAGGAAGTGGAAGAGTGGGTTAGTAAATTTGCCAATGACATGAAGGTTGGTGGAGTTGTGGACAGCGTGGAGGGCTGTTGTAGGTTGCAATGGGACATTAACAGGATGCAGAGCTGGGCAAAGAAGTGGTAGATGGAATTCAACCCAGAAAAGTGTGAAGTGATTCATTTTGGAAGGTCGAATTTGAATGCAGAATACAGGGTTAATGGCAGGATTCTTGGCAGTGCGGAGGAACAGAGGGATCTTGGGGTCCACGTCCACAGATCCCTCAAAGTTGCCACCCAAGTTGATTAGGGTTGTTAAGAAGACATACAGTGTGTTGGCTTTCATTGGCAGAGGAACTGAGTTTTAAGAGCCACAAGGTTATGCTGCAACTTTATAAAACCCTGGTTAGACTACACTTGAAATATTGTCTTCAGTTTTGGATGCCTCATTATAGGAAGGCTGTGGAAGCTTTAGAGAGGGTGCAGAGGAGATTTACCAGGATGCTGCCTGGACTGGATGGCAGGTCTTATGAGGAACGGTTGAGGGAGCTAGGGCTTTTCTCATTGGAGCGAAAAAGAATGAGAGGTGACTTGATAAAGGTGTACAAGATGATGAAAGGTATAGATAGAGTGGATAGCCAGAGACTTTCTCCCAGGGCGGGAATGACTATTATGAGGGAGCATAATTTTAAGGTGATTGGAGGAAGGTATAGGAGAGATATCAGAGGTAGGTTCTTTACACAGAGAGTGGTGGGTGTGTGGAATGCACTGCCAGCAGTGGTAGTGGAGTCAGATACATTAGGGACATTTAAGCAACTCTTGGATAGGCACATGGATGATAGTAAAATGTAGGGTATGCAGGGTAGTTTGATCTTAATAGGATAATAGGTCAGCACAACATGGTGGGGCAAAGGGCCTGTAAAGTGCTGTACTGTTCTATGTTCAATGTTCTATGCAACCTCCTGACTGAGGGGAACTGTAGATACAATGTAGTCCATTCTTCATCCAGATGAAGTTTCACTGCTTGGGGCAATCTGGTATACTCCAGAGCATACTATATCATCTTAGCATGCTGTGTTCTACACAACTGGAGCAGGCAGTGAGGGAATATGGTGGAGGCTGATAAACTGGGGGAGTGGGAACAATCTTCTGAGAAGGGGGAGGATATGGGCATAGAGGCAAGAACAGCATTTGTGCATGACAGAGTGCAAAGCAGACAGGACTTGACTGACATCCTGTTTCAGTCGATGAGATCAGGGCACAGTGTTCATTCATTGCCTTTAAATTGTTGGTTTTTGACATGCAAGCAGTTTGTTTCTGTTCCAAGTTGCAAATGCAGCTTGGGTTTGTTTGACTTCTGTTCACTTTTGGGATTAGTAAACAAAAGTGTTTTTTGAGGGTGCCTAATTGTTTCTTTGTTCAGCAGGGGTCCATCACATACAATGAGAAGATGCTGGGCTACAGTAGGCTTTGGAGAGAGAGTTGTAAGATGGAATGTGGCTAAGGACATACAAGCTGTGTACCCTGACAATTAAACAGAAATAGATATAGGGTTGTACAGTTATATGTCTAAAGAAGTGTCAGCTGTACCACCTTTGTGGCATGTGAATTGTTGCTTTGCACCAGCTTTGCCTATAGGTTGCCAGTGAAGGCCAGCTCTGGGTTCTAGACTGGAAGGCTGGGGTTCAAAGATGGCACCTAGGCCAAGGATGCTGCCAGAAATGACAAGTAGGAAAATTGGGCTAGCGTCAGAGTAGAGGCATGTGGTAGGTAGTTAATCAGAATAGTTTGGGACAATAGTGAGAGAAATCCTCCACAAAACTTGATGGAAATGGTAAGATTCAGCCCTTGGGGGAGGTTGCCTGCCGACTCATATGGAACAAGGAGAAAAACTAATCTGCAAGTCTGGAGGAATAGAGCAGGGAGGATGAATACTCATTGGAAAGACCAGAGACTCAAGAAATTGTTGCTGTTGCTAATATGGTGGTGTATAGTTCTAAGACACTTGGTGAAAGGTATATTAAGTATATCTCTTCCATCTAGCCAGTTTATTCAATGAGTACCTACTTGAGCCAGGTTGACCAAGAAGGCAGCCAGGTCAATGCATGCTCTCGCTTGAGTGATCTCATCTCTCCCACACCAGTGCTGGGTGCAGCAAACTAGGCTGCCTTCCAGCATTTGCAGTCTATGGGGAACAAAGACAACCTCCATTAGAGTGAATGATTTCTGAAACCTCACCCTATTGGATTATAGGTAAATGGTGGCATGGAGGAGCTTATGTCACATTGCCACAAAATGGTAGGCACAGAACAACATTATGGCTATGACAACCCAGGTGGTACAAGTTTAAATACAATTTGACTAGCACCAGTATAAATGATGGCAAAACTGTTGTAAAACCTCAAGAGGCTGACGTCCTTTAGATATAGTGACAAGTCCTCCATTCATGGTTGGACTACACATGCCTTGGGCACTGCAAAATGTATTTTATAATTAAAGAACCCTAAAGTAGATCAGCTACTTGTAAAGAAGGTCCAACACCACCTTCTCAGGAAAATGTATCGATTTCTACCTAGCCACTTTAACCACATCCTGAGAACCAATAAAAAGGATTGTTCACTTTCAGTAAAGAGAGAAAAATCACTAGAGTAAACAAGAAAGAATTGACCACAGCCACCTAAAACCATTGGAAGTTACATGTATACAAACATTTTCCACTGACAGCAAGCTTTCTAATACTATATCCCCTGAGCTTTAAATGAACTACTAATGGTGATTGAATTTTATATTGTGTCTTTGGGACAACATTACAAAGTGCTTTTCCAGAGAATAATCCACCGAAATTGGCATCCTGCGAAAGAAGGCAATATTATGATGGTAACTAAAAGTTTGGCCAAATAAGTAAATTTTAAGAAATGTCCTTAAGAAGAAGCAAAGGTACAGAGTAAATTGCCCTTCAGAGAGAAGGCAATTCCAGCTTTTAGGGTCTGGGTGAGCAGTGACTTGATTGAAGTGAATCAGATTCTGAATGATCTTAGACAAGCCAAGCAATGGAAAGGATTTCTTGTGGGTGAGTCCACAAATAGAGGCCTTTATTTTTACAATTAGTGATTGCCCTTTAGGACAGAGAAGAGATTATTTTTTTAACTCTCAGAAGTTTGTGCAACTTTGGAACTCTCTACCTCAGAAGATGGTTGAAATGGGATCACTGAATTTTTTAAACTGGAGTTAGATAAATTCTTCTTAGGCAAAGGAATCAAAAGTCAATCAGGAATAGTTGGAAATGTGGAATCAATATACAACTAGCTCTGCCATAATTTCCGTGAATGATGTAGCAGGCTTGAGGGGTGAAATGGCCTACTCCTCCTCCTATTTTGTATGTGCCATAGTACAGCCACCAAAAGAGAACAAAGCTGAAGAAGAGCAGAGTTCTTGGAGGTCTGTAAGGCCAATTAGCAATTTGAATATAACAATGTGGCAATGTAACCATGGAGAGTAAAAGTGGAAAGGTAGGAGGGAGACGTGCAAGGAGATGGCTGCTATTAGACAGGAGACTCTATCGATATCCCTGGAGTAACGAGTAACTTTGGAAGAAGGGAGTAAGGCAACATGATGCTTGATGTAATTTAGCAAAATCTCATGATGATGGCTAAACCAGCTGGGAGCTGCACGCATCTGGCACTGCACTCCATAAATGTAAGGCAGTGAGCGCTGGGAGGCATACCAGTTTCGGAAGGAGTAAGCAATTTACTGGGATCAAGCTGAGGAGAGCAGATTGAAAGAGCAATAAGATTGAACAGATCAATTGTTGCCAAAGTACCATGGAGTACAGAGGGCTAAAGAAAGATGTTTGGGAGCTCCAAAGTTCTGTTTCATGTGGCTTAGAGGAGAGTTGTTTCCAAAGGCTGACACAGAAGGAATGAAAGTGATGAGGAATACAAGGAAGCAAAAGAGATAGCCTTGCCGGTGGTTGAGCCAATGGGAATAAAGAATGTGGTGTCGGGAGGGATTGGCTGTGAACAAGCTTAGAAGAGTTTATTTAAGAGCACGGTTAAAGGATGAGAGCTGGGCAATGAACGAGAGGGAAAGAAGTAAAGAAACGATGATGTGGAAATTGAAATCACTAAGGTTGAGATGTTGCTTACTGAAGAGGATGAGGAAGGAAAACAGTGAGAAAATCTCAGGAGTGGCAAATTTTCTGTGTGACTTGAACAGAAAATTCAAGCTTAGTAGAAAATAGATTTCAGAGAGATGTTGGAGGGGAAGAATAAAGTGAGATATTGAGATAAGGTGGAAGTGCCAGAAATGTAGTGGGCAGGCTAAAGACCAATTCACCACAGCAGGGAGGCTTTGGTAAGGTCCAAGTAATTATTGCCTGTGAGTCAAATTACCATCAAAGCCATGGTACCAATGCAACTATTCACATCAAGGTCATGGATGGTAAGGACCTTGTTTGCTTATGAAGTGACATTCTGAAGGGAAATACAGGGAGATATGGTGTTTGTTGGTCCTCAGGAAGAGTCCATGTTCTCAGCAGTGGGTGTGGTGAAAAGGATGAAATAATTTTCTGATTCAAAATAAATCTATTGTGCAGCTGTTCAAAATTTGTCTGTAGTTCCCTTTCTTTAAATGATTCATCGCACCAAATATGTTTATCAGCATCTGAATAATGATGAAATGAAAGTAAGGTCTCACCAGCATTCTCAAATACAATAAAGCTCTCCTTTTCTCTTTTAAGAATTGCAATTTTAAATAGATCTGAAGGATTTAAATAGTTACTTTCAAAATTGGACACAAATTGCTTATGATAACATATCTGAGCAAAAATCATTAAGTTATCAGACTATATACACAAATAGTTTAACATTTTCACAAGTATCACCTTAGAACATTCAACCAAGTGTTTGTAGGTGAAAGATTTCGTGATCTTTTAAAAATGTATTTCATAATAGATAGCATTGACAAAACCATGTTTCATACAAACATAATGGTAGACAATTATAGCTTCAATATTAAGCAGCTCTACTCAAACATGGTTCACATTATCTACTGTAAACATGATTTTTTTTAAAAATTGGCAATAATTGATATACATAGAGATGAATGCAACAATCATTGGAAGGAACAAGTAAGATCATAAATAATAATTAAAATATGGTTATTTAGACAATTCTAAACAACTTGTGATGTCAGAGAATCATAAAACAAAATCTGAAGCTAAAATAGAAAAATATTTTGTGATAAAATTACTATTGTAAATCATTATAATCAGCAAGTTGAGACACTGAGGTAAGGACCTGCCACCAGCTTCCTGCTTTTCCAGTGAAAAGTGGAACTGTCAGCTTTTCCTGCTCCTGAGTAATATTTTCAGTGGAAGATATAATTCTCAAGTCAATCTTCAGAAAACATTTCCAAAGGTTCCCTCCAAAAATCAACTCTCTATCTGCCACTGCTGTCCTGCAGAGCCATCACAAATTGCCATCATGATATATCCCTTGATGTCACCAGGATCTACCACTTGAAGACACTGTCCAGCTGACACTTGATATATGCAGTTATTTTTCTGCGAAAAAAATACTTAGAAGTCACTTTCCAAACTTAGTTTCATTAGCAATGACAGCATATTGTGAATAATAGAACAGTTCCATTGCTACACTACACATAAATACAGTATTTACTGCATTATGGATGCTATGTACAGTGCCTATCCTGAATATGGAACCGTCCAAAAGATCAAATGCAAATGCAAAAACACTTGCTAAAGTGTATGCTGAGAGACTGTTTCACCTGGCTGAAGCGTTCAGAACTAGGGGACCATAGCCATTTAAGATTGAGATGAGAAGAAATTTCTTTCCTCAAAGGGTTGTGAATATTTAGAATTCTCTACTCAAGATGGTTCTGGTGATCAGTTGATAAGTATATTCAAGACTGGGGGCTATAATCTTTTGGGTACTAAGACAAACAAGGAATATGAAAAGAAGGTGGAAAAGTGGATTTAAGGCAGAAGGTCAGCTATAGCCTTAAAGATCAAGGAGATCATCTTTGTGTTGAATCCCAGGAGATGAGAGAGATACTAAATGAATATTTCACATCAGTTTTTACTGTGGAGGAAGAACTGGAGTCCAGAGAATGCAGAGACATAAACTTTGATATTTTAAAAACAGTTCACATCACAGAAGAGGACGTTCAGGAGGTCTTAGAGAATATAAAGGTGGATAAATCTCCAGGACCTGATCTAATGTATCCCAGAATGTTGTGGGAAGTAAGGAGGAAATTATGAGACTCTATGCAGAAATACTTGCACTATTTATAACTACGGATGTGGTGCCTGATGACCGGAAGGTGGCTAATATTGTATCCTTGTTTAAGAAAGGTCATAAGGAGAAACCAGGGCGCTATAGACCTGTGAGTCTGACTTTGGTTGTGGGTAAATTGTTGGAGGTGATTTTATAAAAGATGGGATTTATGGATACTTGGAGAGGCAAAAATTGATTAGGGATAGTCAGCATAGCTTTGTGCAAGGAAAATCGTGTCTCAAAAACTTGATTGAGTTTTTTTGAGGAAGTTACCAAAAAGATTGATGATGGCAGAGCAGTAGACGTTGTTTATTTGGATTTTAGTAAAGCCTTTGACAAGGTTCTGCATGGTAGACTGATTAATAAAGTTAGGTCACATGGGATTCAGGGTGAGTTTGCCATTTGGATACATAATTGGCTTAATGGCAGCAGACAGAGAGTATTGCAGGGTTGCTTTTTGAACTGGATTCTTGTCGCTACTGGTGTTCCACAGGGATCAGTTCTGGGTCCTCTTTAGTTTGTCATTTACGTAACTGATTTGGATGAGAATACAGAAGGCATCATTAGTAAGTTTGTTGATGACACCAAAATTGGTGGCATTGTAGACAGTGAAGAAGGTTTTCTAAGAGTGCAATGGGATCTTGATCAAATGAATAAATGGGCTGAAAAATGACAAATGGAGTTCAATCTGGATAAAGGCATTTTGGTACAACAAACAAGGGTACGGCTTATACAATTAAATGTAGGGCCTTGAGTAGTGTTGTAGAACAGAGGGATCTAGGGATGCAGGTACAAAGTTCTTTAAAGTTTGCCTCACATACAGACAGGGTGATTAAAAACGCTTCAGGCATGCTTGCCTTCATTGCTCAGTCCTTTGAGTATAAGAGTTGGGACGTTATGTTGAGGTTATATAGGACATTGGTGAGGCCTCTTCTGGAATACTGTGTTCAGTTCTGTTCATCCAGGTTTGGGAAGGATATTATCAAGCTGGAGAAGGTTCAGAAGAGATTCACCAAGATGTTGTTGGGTATAGAAGGTTTGAGTTATAAAGAAAAGCTAGACAGGCTGGGACTTTATTCACTGGAGCATTGGAGGTTGAGAGGTGACCTGATAGAAGTACATAAAACAATGAGAGGTAAGTTAGAGTTGATAGTGGTTGACTTTTTCCTAAGATGAGGAATTCCAAAACTAGGGGGCACATTTTTAAGGTGAGAGGAGAGAGATTTAAAAAAGACGTATGAGGCAAATTTTTTACACAGAGGATGTTCACAAGTGGAATGAACTTCCTGAGGAAGTGGTGGATGCGGGTATAATTACAACATTTAAAAGACATTTGGATGGATATATAAATAGGAACGGTTTGGAGGGATATGGGCCAGGAGCAGGCAGGTGGGACTAGTTTAGTTTGGGATTATGTTCAGCATGGACTGGTTGGATCATTGTTTCCGTGCTGTATGGCTCTATGACTATAAATAGCAGATCAAGCTCTAGAGACACCATATGGTTTATGCCTGCTCCTTCTTATTTTTTGAAACAATTCTTTGAAAGAATTGGGAATACTAGTTCCTGCGCTGTGTGGTCTAGACAGTAATTCTAAATTCTTTTCCACTGCTAAATAAATTAATTTAAGTGCACTAAATGGCAAACCACGTATCTTTAGTTGATTGACTGGGTTGAATTTAGATATCCTGCACTGCTTTTGGTTTCAGAGGACTACTGCTTTTTGTGGAAGAGGGTAGTGGATTTTCTCCATCATCTGCCCTGTTATTTGTAAGTGCAGCAAGATTTAGCACTACCAGATCACTCAAAACCCCAAGAATATATGGTTGCCTCGAGTATGTCTCATTGTGGGGTGAGATTGGGGAGACCTGAAGTATGAACTAAATAATCTGTTTTGCTTTTAGTTCTGTAAGTACAACAGGTAAGCAACAACAGAGCAAGGAACTTATGGAAATTAGGAAGATTCATTTTAGAACCACAAAGGGAGAGTTCTGTCAAATTTCCTGCTTCCCACTTCGCTTGGTTGGGACAAAAAAATAAATGGTACAAATGTGCAAGCAGGCAGTCATTTGTAATTGAAAGGATACAGGGTCAGAAACTCAGGTAACAGTTGGGGAAGGGGCTGGAGTTTTTGTCAGTGAGGTGGTTGAGCAATAACGGCAATGATTCTAGCCATTTTGCTATCATCTGGAGCTAATGTTGAAAAACTGGGATATGAGAGAGATGAAGTCAGAGATTGCAAGAGATGAGAAAGAAAAACTACAGCAAAGTGGCTAGGAAAATAAAACTTAACATGATTGAACGGCAAAATCTTTTGTTATTTTTCATACATCTTGCAGTTCCCTGACATTATTGTACTCAAGTATCATCCAGAGATTTCTTAACATCCAATGGTGTAAAAAATTTTTTAAAACAGTTCAGATGAACGATCACCTAATTGGAAATGTTTTCAGTGACCTGCTGAGTTTGTTTTGATTTCAGACTTCTAGCAGAATTTTGTTTTTGTTTAAAGAAAAGTAGTTGTTAATGAGTTAGGCCTGTCTTTGGCCGTGCATTCAAGAATGTATCACAATCGGGCCAGTCTGATCAGTTTCAAACTACAACAGTCTTACCCCTAAAGTCCATTGTTGTGATCCTCCAGACCCGTGACATTTCATGAGACGCGGAGGATCTGACGAGCGAGTCTCTGCCACATCCAAGCAAAGAAGGTTGGCCAGAATCAGTTCATGTTCTTCATCATAAATCCAAATCTGTAAATATCACAGCAGTGATTGCAGGAAATGAAAAGTTAACATAGAGCATTGTTTTGAAATTTTGAGAGGAAAATAAACATTATATCTGACTTATAAATAAATTCTTAAAGTGCTTCTGTCTTAGTACACATTATCTATATAGAAATATCTTTTACATTGTTCTGTAGACAGCACTGGGGTTTTTTATTCAGAATTTCTTTTTTTTTGCTCCCTGCTAAATCATTTGCTTCTTCGTGTAGCTGCTCATCAGTGAGGACATACAGGATGGGATGTTGTCTGGTTACTATTAGCAATTGTATTCACGCACAGAGATTTCCTTGTCCCCACCCATTGCACCATCATTTACAAAAACAGAAATTTCTGGAGAAACTCAGCATCATTGTTGATTTGGTTCTGGCAGCAAGACAGAATGCTGGAGAATTGGCCTTAGCATATCCTTAAGAACATAAGGAACAGGAGCACATCATCTGGTCCTTCAAGCCTGCTCTGCCATTCAATGTGATCATGACTGATCTTGTGCTCTGAGTCCACTTTCCCACCCACTCCCATGTGCTTAGATTCCCTGAGAGACAAAAATCAACCTCAGCCATAAATATCAATGATGCAGGATATACAACCTTCTGGGTTAGAAAATATCAAAATTTCACAATGCTTTGAATGAAGAAATTCCTTGACATCTCAGTCCTAAATTATCAACCACTTATCACAAGACTGTGTTTCCCAGCCCCCTGAACTTGGGTTCAAGTACCACTCCAGGGCTAGAGGTAAAAAAAAATCAAGGCTGCCACTCCAATGCAGTGCTGAGGAACCAATGTTCTGTTTGGAGTGTTATTGCTTGGAAGGAACATTAAATAGAGGCCCCATCTGCCTGATGTGAAAGATTCCATGACATTATTTTGAGGAAAAGCAGTCTTCCATTCTTCCTGTGGCTTGGCCAAGATTATGGTAAGTGGAAGTCACTGCAGTCCCAAAGCTCTCAATAGTGAGACAGAACTGGCAGTAGGGTCACCATGCCTCAGGCAACGGCAAAGGTTGAGATGGAGAACTCTTCAAGGTGAGCTCAGCAGGTCGAGGAACTGAAATCGCTGAGGAAATCAGTCTGCGGCAAACCAGCTGTCTAGTTAACTGAGCCATCAAGTAACATCACAAAAAATAGATATCTAGTTATTATTGCATTGCTGTTTGTGAGAGATTGGAGAGTGCAAATTAGCTGCTATATTAGAACAGCAATAACACTTCCAAAAAAGTAGTTAACTGTCTGCAAAGCACTTTGTGAGGTGGAGTGGTCAAGAGAAGTATAAATGAAAGCCTTTATTTTCTTTGATGGTGTCTGTCAATAGCCAATTTGTGTACCAAAATAACAATCAACTTAACAGCAGGGACAGCAGTGAAAAGCTCAGCCACTCTTTTTAAACAACTGTAACTAAGTGGTAACTGTAATCTGTGTCAAAGTGGAAGACTGAAAATGCACGTATAAGGAAATAGGCAAGCAAACTTAGCCTTTTCAGAAGGTCATATTGTATCCACAGTGTCTTGAATCCTCTTTAATTTAGAACAACACCTTTTAATTGGAGATAATGCTACAAAAAGTGATTCCCTTATCTTAAAACCTAAAGGAAAATCTCTGGCAAATAAATCCAATATTCTAGGATGGTGACTTACTGAATTCTGCATATAATACTTCCACAGTTGCAAAGGATTGTAATCCTGGGGCTCCATGCAATACTTGATTATACTCTAGCAATGCAACAACAGCTATCAACGTCACCAACATCTCTGAAATTTATGTCTTGCCACAGTATAGCTGTGTATGGTAAGCAGTTCAAAGAGCATCATGTTACTCAGAGACATGTGGTGACACACAGCCCTGAGGCAGCTACTCAGTACAGAACACCATATCTAGATAGTTAAGTCCTCTGGCAATGTAGGAAATTGGAACAGGCGTAGGCCAGGTGCCCTTTGAAGATGCTCTGTCATTCAACTAGATCATTCCTCAACACTATTTTCCAGAACTATCATTACATCCCTTGATGTCTAATATTCAGAAATCTATCTACCCTGGTCCTAAATGCCCTATCCATTGTTCTGAACCTGTGTTCTCGTTCTAGACCCCACTCCTGGTCAGAAGATCCTTCCTGTATCAACACTGTTGAGGTCTGTAAGGTCACTTCTCATTCTCCTCAACTCTGGTGAATATGGGTCCATCTGCCCAATCTCTCCTCAAAGAACAATATCCTATCCCAGTAATCAGTCTGGTGAACCCTGGTTGCACTCTTACTATGGCAAATATATCCTTTCTTAGGTAAGTACCTGTACAGAATACTCCTGGCATAGTCTCACCAACATGCTATAGAATCCCAGCATGACATCTTTACTCTTGTATTTTAATCTTTTTGCAATAAAGGACAATATACCATTTGCTATCCTAAATGCTTGCTGTGCTTCAGTGATACATGAACAAGGAAATCCAGTTCTGTTTGGACAAGAACATTTCTCAGATTTCTCACAATTTAAGAAAAACAACTTTTCTGCTTTTCCTACTAAATGTAAATTTATCCATACTATATTCTATCTGCCATATTCATATCCACTTATTTAGCCTATCTAAATCCCCTACAAGTTTTTCTTTTGCATCCTCTTCACAACTCTCATTTGCACCCAGTCTTCTGATGTAAGTAAACTTGGAAAGATTACATTTGGTACTAAATAAGTGCTGCTAATAGAATTTATCAGCTATCTCCTGTCAAGCATTACTGACCACTCTTACAGAATCATACAATGATACAGCACAGAAAAGGGCATTTAGTCAGCTGTACTTGTGCTAGTAGGTGTTCTTCAGAAGACATCCCTCCTTTCTCTCACTTCTTCCACTCAAGGGCAGTGTATGTAAATCTGAGTGTGCCTTCTATTGTCATCCTTTAAATGGCTGCAGTGGTGCTTTGAAACACCTGTCGTCTGTGCAGGCTGGCACTTATTTACTGATTATGTACCATGACATTTATACCAGCTCCTGTCAGTCATCACAGACTATACACTTCGGAGACTTTACAGATGTCTCAGTTGCTGAAACTGAGCCAGTTGAATTATTTGTTAATTGGAAATGTCAATTATTTTCCCTTGAAAAGAACAGTCATTTCTTATCCTGCAAATATTACATTTCATTTGCTGAAATAAAGTTGTAGATTTGTTGATCTACTGAGGATTTCAATAGAGGAAACTTACCTGACTCCAGAATCAAAATCCCGGAATTTAATGTGAAACAAAAACTTCCAGAAGCTGCTTACCTGATCTAGATCTGTTAAGTCACATTCCTTGAGCACCACTATTCCTGCTTTCTGGCTGGGATGGTTCTGGGCACTGATACACTTGGCTGTCTGCAGGTGCCGTATCTGCAGAGATGGAGCAAGTTTGGTTACAACAGAAAATGATTTTTCAACATAACCGCCTTGTTACTCGTATTTTGCTCAATGCTTTAATATTCATAGAATTATACAGACTTTTCAGTTCTAAATCAAACCACTTGATCATTCACATATGCTGGTGCTTATCCTCCACATGTGCCTCTGCCCATCCTATTTCATATAACCTTATCTACATATTCTTCTATTGTTCTCCATGTACTTAACTAGATACCACTAAAATACAATTAGGTTCTTCTTCTTTCTTAGGTAGCCCCTCAGGATATAAGGTGACTTGCTTCTACTCTGGTTTGATGGGTTCAGAGATGGCTTACAAGTCCAATAAGTGATCTGCAGACTCTGCAATATGTAGGTGGGCGTGTGCTTGGCAGAGGAGAGTTCTCTCAATGTGTTTGCTGTCTATCCCAAAGTACTTTTACTGTATTGGTCAGTCACAAGCCAGGGTCTTCCACAAATCTGTTTGATCTATCCAAGGATGCTTTGATGACATCCCTATGGCATCTGTTATCCTCTTGAGTCTCCTGCTGTGACCAAATTCAGAGTAGAACAATTGCTTCATTTGGTGTCAGGCATAACCATGACACAATATGACATTCACCAAAGTTCTTCAGGCAGCACCACCAAATTTTTAACACTACCATCTGGAAAGACAAGGGCAGCAGATATAGGGAACACCACTACTTAGAGAAGAGTCATAGAGTCAAACATCATGGAAACAGGCCCTTTGGTTCAAACTGGTCCATGCTGACCATGGTGCCCACTCAGCTAGTTATAATTGCCTTGGTCCATATCCCTCTAAACCCTTCCCATCCATGTACCTATCCAAATGTTTTTTTTTAAATGTTGCTATTGTATCTGCCTCAACAACTTTCTCTGGGAGCCCATTCCATTTATGCACCACTTTCTGCATGAAGAAGTTGCCTCTCAGGTCCTGTTTAAATCTTTGCCCTCTCACCTTAACCCTATGCCCTCTGTTTTTCAATTCCCCATCCCTAAGAAAAAGACTATCTGCATTCATCCTATCTATGCCCCTCATGATTTTATACGCCTCAGTAAGGTCACCCCTCATTCTCCTACGTTCCAAGGAATAAAGTCCTATCCTGGCCTATATTCCTATACTTCCTGGCTCCACTCCAAGCTATTTACCATCCTGACATGAAAATATATTATCGTTCCTTCAGTTTCACTGGATCAAGATTCTGGAACTTCCTCTGCAACAGCATTTTTGAATACCTATACCAAATGCAGTGTAGCAGTTCAACAAGGTAGGTCACCAGAACCTTTTCAAGGACAATTAGGGATTGACAATGAACGATAGTCAAGCCAGAGAAAGCCACATTTAAAAAAGCCCCCTTCAACAAGGTGATTTTGAGTGATTGGTACATCAACACCGGACCCATACACTTGGGAGAGGATGTTGCTGTTGGACGGTTTCTTTTCCCACCGAATATGGAGAATCTTGTGAATGCAATGCTGTTGGTACTTCTCCACTGCCTGCTGTAGGTCATCCACGTCTCCAAAGCATATAGGAGCACAGGGATCATTGCTGCCCATTAAAGTCATGACTTTAGTCCTGGATTTGAGATCCTGGGTCTCAAATACTCTTCTCCTCAATGGTCAGAAGGCTAAGCTGGCACATTGGAGGTGATGAAGAAGTTACTACTGAGTGCGAACATAAGTATCACCTGCATTCTGAATTCTCTGAAGTCGAAGGGGCCTTGGATTGAACGGAGAATTTCTGACAATTTTCCATCTGGTATCTACATTATCTCCATTCCTGAGAGTAATTTTCAATTGGTGAAGTGAAGTATTTCCACTAGGGTAATTGAGAAAAGGGTTCTTACAATGACACAACCTTGTTTGACCCCAATTTGCATAGTTTGCGGTCATGCCATTAGTGGAGATCACAGCATGTACGTCATTGTGAAGTACAGATAGGACAATAACAAATTTGGGTGCAGGCAAATTTTAGGAAATTAATATGTTCAACAGTCTCTACAAGTTGTGGCAAGTTCCACATCGTAACCATATTCTGGACAAAGAGGTCTCTCTTGGGTTCCTTATTGGATTCATCCATTTAATAATTACATCCACTGGTTTTAGATTTGATCACAAGTGGAAACATATCTGTGTATCCTATCAAAATCTTTCAGTTTTCTCCTAATATCAAGAACTACTGTAATACATTCGGCCCATTGTGTCAGTGTTGACTTTCTGAATGAACATTTCACTTGGACCATAAGCTATAAGAGCAAAACTGAGCCAATGGGCCCATTGAGTCTACTCCACCATTCAATTACTTAATTCCACTCTCCTTCCTTCTCCCTACAATCCTACACATTTTTCCTTTACAACATTTAACTCCGTTTTGAATACTTCGAGCGAATCTATCTCCACTGCGCTTTCAAGCAGTGCATTCCAGACACTAATCACTCCCTGCGTGAAAAAGCTTTTTCTGATCCCTCATTATATCAAATCACTAAAAAATGAACAAAACGAGTCCCAGTGCAAAAATCATGACATTCTTAATTTTTGACATCCAACTACCAGATTAGTCTATACTTAAGCCTACATAGTAGCTCATCCCTTACAGTCAGTGTTTAACACAACTTAATATCCTCTCTCGAATTCCATAAATCTGAAACTTCAGCAGTACTCTCCTGTGTGGTACCTTGTCAATGGCTTTATAACAGTCTATCCACTCCATCCACTCTAATACCATGTCTACCGCCTCCTCAATTTGTCAAGCAGAATCATTCTTCCTGAAATTTGGTTTACTGCTTTTAATTACTGCAAAATAGTCCAGGTGAGCTATGTTAAAATTGGGGCATTATTAATGGCATCATCTTTGGGGCAGCACGGTGGCTCAGTGGTTAGCACTGCTGCCTCACAGCGACCCAGGTTCGATTCCACCCTTAGGCAACCATCTGCGCGGGTTTCCTCCCACAGTCCAAAGATGTGCAGGCTAGATGGATAGACCATGCTAAATTGCCCATAGTGTTCAGGGATGTGTAGATTAGGTGGGTTATAGGGGGATGGGTCTGGGTGGGATGCTCTGAGAGTTGGTGTGGACTTGTTGGGCCAAAGGGCCTGTTTCCACACTGTAGGGATTCTATTAAAGATTGCCAATTTTTTTCTTGTCAGAGATATAAACCAACAGTGGAGTTATAGGGTAATTACAATGCAGAAAGAGATCATTTGGCCCATCAGGCCTATGCTGGCTCCTCTGCAGAGAAATCTAGTCAATCCCATTCCACTGTAATACGTGCATAACCCTGCAAATTTATTTCCCTTAACTGCTCACCCAATTTCATTTTGAAACATTCACGTCTCTGCTTCCACCACCTTCCTAGACAGCAAGATCCAGGTTATGACCACTTCCACACATCACTCCCTGCATCACTTGCCAAAAACTTTAAATCTGTGTCCCCTAGTTCTTGTACAATCAGCTACTGAGATCATCTTTTCTTTGTCTATGGATATTCTGATGTTTTATGATGTATCCAGGGCTTATGAAAATAATGCAGAGTGACTTGTAAACATGGTATAGGAAAAGTTGGCAGAACATTACAAGCTAGATTAGAAATATAATGTAAATGTAGGAAATGTGTAACCTTTGATAAATTCTGACTCAGTGTCAATGTCTTTTGTTTGATGTAAGACCGTGGAAGCAAGCTTGTTGATGGATTTGTTTCTTGTGATATATCAATCCCCTTAGTATGCAATTCTGCAGTCTGGTGTCACTGCTGCAGCTTGAGATCAGATGGGCTTTTGATGCTACATGGGGTCAGAATGGAGCTATCACTGCTTTGGCTCCATTGTCATTTTTCAAAACATTCGAAACACTGTTTCTCAGAATTTTTTCTCATTATGATCCCTTTTCTTTGCTTGGAACTGGCAGAAGCAGGTGGGAAGGGTGGAAGGTGGGTACATGTGGGGGTAGGTAGGAAAAGGTTGACAGACTTGTGGCAGTGGACGATGGTTTGTGGGAAGTGGGTGAGAGACCTGCTAGTGTAGGAATTTGAGGAAGAGATTTTAACTAAAAGGTAGTTACCTTTCCACTAGGTTATTCAGGAGAGGATTCAGGCTTGAGCAAGGATGAGCAAGGTAAGTTACTTCCATCATGAATGGAATTGTGAGATTTTAAGGGACCAGCACTGGGTCACAGCTCCACAACAGCCGTTGCTGCCTTGGAGATCACAACTCCAAATTTTGGGAGTTGGATATCGTGATCTGTAGTTTAGGGGCCTCGGCGTATTTTGACATTAACTGTTCATGATCCCCATTGTTTAGGCCTCACTCCAACAGAGCTGCAACCGGTATAAGTGCAAATACATTTTCTCATTCCATATCTTATCATGAATGACATCCTAGCTGTATTTTGAACAGCCGTATACCAACTGTAAATGCTGTGAATGCAATACGGATAGGAAAGGTTTAGAGAGATAATGGGTTAAACACAGGAAAATGGGACTGTTTAGGAAACATGATCAGCATGGATGAGTTGGGCTGAAGGGCCTGTTTTCGTGCCGTATGACTCTATAACTCGAGTCCGGATCATTTCTTAGCAAGTTTGGGCATAAACAGCTAGTAAAGACTTTTTGGTTACATTCTAATGGTTTGAAAGAGTATTGCTAATATTAACTTTCTTGATGCCTATCAAATCAAATGTAAGGCTATCACACTTTGCTGCAAATGAGAAAACAATCCTAAAAAAAGACAGAAAGTCAATCATTTTTCTGATCTGCACCAGGAATTTACAAATTTAAATAACTAATTAATTGGACTGGGGTATTGAGACTTCTTTACCAGACAGAGCAGTCAGCCTCAAAGGGACAGTCTAGGTTAGCAGTTAAGCATCACAACACTTTGAATCAGCAAGCAGTGCCACAGGAGATCTGAAAGTTCATTTAAAATGCCTCATCTTTTTTTTTAAAGATTTGAATCTAAATAACCTAAGTGCCTTTTTT